ACGAGCCGGAGCCTCATCCGAGTCCTGAGGAGGCACGTGCTGGCTGAGGTCACCCCGGCGGGCGACCCCGGAGCTCTGCCGCCGGCGCCCTGGGCAGCGTGAGCCTGAAGGAGCTGGCGGGAGGATGGGGACGCGCGGCCGGCCATGACTCCCCACCTGGACCGCTGTCTGGGTAGGACCTGCGGCCGGCCATGACCCCCACCTGGACCGCTGTCTGGGTAGGACCTGCGGCCGGGCGGGGCCGGGAGAGGGGGGCCCGTGGCGCCCGCTAGCCCCGTGCCTGTCTCCGCGCAGTGACAGAGGACCTGCTCTCCGTGCTGGCTGAACTGCAGGCGGCCGCACAGCTCGGGCCTGAGGACGGCTCCCCGGGCCTGGTCAGTAGCTGGGCCCCGCCCCGCCCGTGGGCCTCGGCGAAGGCGGAGCCCTGCGCCGGGTAGTGACTGCCCTCCCCACAGGCTGCCGCCCCCGGGGCTGGTGCGGACAGCTGTCTGGTGGTGCACGTGGTGAGCCCCGAGGAGGAGTCCCAGCAACAAAAGCTGGACCTGCTTTGGTGGAAGCTGGATGAGCAGGCTCCTCTCGCACAGGTAGGGGAGGCATGGTGGGGCCTGCAAGCTGACTGGCTCAGAGGGGACACGGCTTTGGGGGAGACACAGGCGTGGTGAATGGGGACGTGCAGCAGGTGCAGTCCTGGGAGAAGGCGGGGTCTGGAGAACAGAGGGGAACAGGTGTCCCGAGGGGCTGGGCCCGAGAGGGAGGCACAGCCTGATGGGAAGAGGCTGGGAGTCCGACCAGAATTCAGTTCCTTGCGGGTTTATTGCTGGAGAATCGCCAGCTGGCTCAGCCCCTGCTGCCCTCCCGACAGAAGCACCTGGTGTGTGGCCCAGTGAGAGCAGCCGGTGCGCCCAGCACCCTGACGGCGCCCGAGTACTACGAGTGAGTGAGGGGGGAGGCCTCCGGGGACATGGAAGTGGGGGCTCTGCCCGGGCCCTCCTCTCACTCTTTTCAAAATGCAGGCTCCGGCTCGCACAGGTGCGCACGGCCTCAGCTCTGAAGCACAGCAGGGACCTGGCACAAGGTGCGCCTGGGAGGCTCCGGCTGCCGCCTGCCTGCCCCTGGCTCCTGCCTGCAGCCTGACTGCCACCCTCTACCCCCCAGACCCGGCCTGGACAGAAACCTTCAGGGTTCTCGCTGCGGCAACCATCAAGTTTGAGATGCTCAGCAAGGCCCCGCAGAGCCAGGTGAGCTGGGTGCCCACAGGACGGGCAGGGGGCAGGCTTGGTGGCCGCCCTCGCTCTGCAGCTGTGCCTTCCTCAGCTCCTCCTCGACCTGGCCAACAGCATTTCCACCAAGGGCACCAAGAGTGGCACCTTTGTCATGTACAACTGTGCCCGCCTCGCCACACTCTTTGAGGGTTACCAGCGCGGCGTGGAACAAGGTCTGTACCCCACTTTCCCACCTGTGAGCAGCCTGGATTTCTCTCTGCTCCGTGAAGAGGTGAGTGCCCCTCCCGGTAGTGGCTCCCTGGGGTGGCCTGGACTCGCCATCCAGCAGCCTTCTTCCCACAGGGTGAGTGGCTGCTGCTCTTCAACAGCGTCCTCCCCTTCCCAGACCTCCTGAGCCAGACCGCAGCCCTGGACGGGGCCCAAGCCCCGGGGCTCCACGTCACTGCTCGCACAGAGATGGTGAGGCAGAGACCAGCAGACACACACACTGTTTATTCGGGTCTGGGGGGGGGGTACAAGAGCAAAGGCAGGCCAGTGACTCTGCCTGTCTGTAGGTGTGCAAGTTCCTGGTGCAGCTCAGCATGGACTTCAGCTCTTACTATAACCGGGTACACATCCTGGGGGTAAGCGCACAGCAAGGGGGTGTGGGCGGTGCGGGGGAGGGAGCAAAGGACGAGACCAGCAGGCCCTCTCTCTTTCTAGGAGCCTCGGCCACACCTGTTTGGTCAGATGTTTGCCCGGCTGCAGCTCCTGCGGGCTGTGCAGGAAGTGCTCCATAAGGGCCTGGCCACGCTGGGTCTCCCTCCACTGAGCTACATCTAAGGCCACAGAGTGCCAATGTCTGGGAATTTTCACAAGGTCGTCACCTGAAAAAACCCCGTTGCTTAGACGTGGAGACTAATAAATCGCTACAAAGCTTTGTTCTAGTGTGAGGCGTGGGGCATGTTCTTGGTCTGCCTAGGCAGCACTCAACTCCCCTCCAACGCCTGCTCTAAAGTTGGGAGCCAGTGGCTCCCCACCCCCCACCACGCCCAGGTGCCAGCCACTGTGGGACACTCAGTCGTACCAGTTGTAAACCTCAAGCCCCTGGCCCCCGAGAGCACAGCGGTGACCAAACTCCGGGCTCACGGGCCAGCAGTCCATGTCGGCCACGTCTGGCACGTGGTACACTGTGCTGTTGATGAAGGTGGGTTCACCATGCCCTAGGCGCCAGAAGGTCAGCCGCTGATCGATGGAGGCGGAGACCATGAGGCTGGGGCTCAGGATGTGGAGGCCTGTCACATGAGCAGCGTGTGCACAGGGGACAGAGTGCTCCTCCAGCACGTGCAGCTGGGGCGCCAGCTCGGCACCCCCCACAGCCTCGTGCTGCTCTGGCAACTCCACAGCAAGCACAAAGACATGGAGGGAGCCATCCTCGCTGCCACTTGCCACCAGGTGGCCCTCGCGTGTGGGCAAGGTGTGCAGGCTGTTGACACCACAGCTGTGAGCCTGGACAGTCAGGCAGGGGGGGGCCCAGCCCTGGAGGAAAAAGAGGCTGTCAGAGCCCCGCCTGCCACGGGGTGAAGGCACAGTGGGGGGGGGGGGGGGGACTGCCGGTGGCCCGCCAGCTACTCACGAGAGGGCAGCCCAGGCTCTGCTGGAGGCTCCAGGGCAGCGGAGCCGTGGTCCAGCACCGTGGTCAGGTCCCAGAAGGCCAGGCTGCCATCGGTGGCCGCACTGCACAGGAGCAGTCTCCTGGGAGGTGGGGAAAGGTGGCTGGGTCAGTCGGGGCGACAGAAAGCAGCAAGGGCGCCCAGGGACCCCGGCAGAGCCACCATGCAGCCCTCACCGCCGCTGGTTGGGCGCCTGGTGTGTGAAGGAGTGGACCTTGAGGACACAGCGCTGGTGGTGGAAGGTTTCAGCCAGGAGCTGCAGCCGCCGCCCAGAGTCCTGCAAATGAAAAAGCCTAGGGCGGGGGAGAGGGGCCAGCTCAGAACCCATTCTGGACAGCCCTTCATCCTACCTCCCGGCCCTACCTGAGCCCCTCGCTCTTACCTCACTGCTCCGTCACTACAGGCTGCAGCCACAAGGGGGCCGAGGTCAGGCGGGTCAAGTTCACACACCGCTAGGCACATGTACCTGCAGAGGTAACAGCCGTCAAGCAGAGCCCTGCCTGACGCACCCCAGGCCCTGCCAGGCCGCACACATCACCTGGTCTCTGGGTCCACCTTGACCATCCGGCGCCGACTGCGCTGACAGTCCCAGTCCTCATCCAGCCGGTGAGACGCCAGGTGCGTCACGTGGCAGGCGAGGCGGCTGGGGGTGCTGGGGTCCAGGGTGACCATGATGTTGAAGCAGTGCATCTCCGCCCGGCCCCCCGCAGACACCACATGGGCAGTCAGGCCCGGGCGAGCATCCTGAGGGCCCGCTGGGGTGCCGACGCCCCACACCGCCACGGCACGCACCGAGGAGATGTGGTTACAAACGGCTGTAAGCGCGTGGGCTGAGCCCGTCGCCGTGGGGAGCGCCAGGATGCAGATGGTGGTGTCCTCGCTGCACGTGATCACGACGTCAATCAGGCTGGGCCCCTCGCTGCCCGGCTCCAGGTCCTCGGGCTGCATGAAGCTGGGCAGCTCGAATTCAGGCCCCAGCGTGATGGTGCCCACACGCCTGACACATGTGATCTCACGGCCATGCAGGCTCTCCCGGAGAATCACATGTGGCCGGGTGCAGCCCCCCAGAGCCCGGTACAGCAAGACGTCGCCATCCTTGAGGTAGGCAAAGGCCATGGCTGCCTCGGTGTCCGAGAAGGCCCAGGAGCGATGGCCGCCGCCGCAGTGGACGACGTGTAGCTTCTCATGTGACCGGGGGCTCCACACCACAAACTCGTTGGCGTGGAAACCCAGGATGACCGTGTTCCCATCAGCCATCACACGCAGCCCGGCCACCCAGTTCATGCCGCGACAGCACTTCCGCCGCAGGACTGGCTGCAGCTGGCCGCCTCGCACAAGGAGCTGGTAGTAGGCACCATCGCGCCCTGTGCTGTACACGTAGCCACCGTGGCAGGTGACCGAGGTCACACCCTGCTTCCCATGCAGGGACCGGAGGATGGAGACGGGGCCCCACTCAGTCAAGGCGGTCTCCTCCTCGCCACTGTCACCACCCCCTCCCAGTTCTCCGGCACCGGCCTCAGCCTGGCCCCCAAGCCCCAGATCCTGGAGCAGAGCCGGTCTGGAGGGGAACAGCAACACGGAGCCCCGCCGGTCTCCACACACCAGGAAGTCGCCCGGGGGCAGGAAGGCACTGCACGTGTGCCATCTCTGCTTGCTTGGAGGCAGCAGGTACCGGCAGCGTTCTGTGACAAAGATGGCCTTGCCGGAGGGGGCGGCTGTGATCTCCAGGCAGGCCACCACGCCGCCGGGGCCCGACGCCAGCAGCAGCAGCTCCTCGTAGCCTCGCAGGGCCCAGCTCAGGCTGTGCACCTTGCCCGGGAACAGGGCCAGGTCCACGGCCGCCGTGGGAGTATTGATGGGGACCACCTTGACGTGGCCCTCCCCGTTGGCCATGGCACACAGTCCGAAGCCCTCAGGCCCGGGGGCGGCCTCCAGAAGGCAGTAGGACTGGAAGCGGGTGTCCTCCAGCAGTTGCTCCCAGCACTTGACCTCAAGGTCGTAGAGGTACAGGACCCCCGAATCAGTCACTGCCAATACTCGCCACGAGCCAGCCAGCGTCACAGCCTTGAGGGCACCTGGCCTGCTAGGGGACTTGAAGCAGAGAGCGGAGACCCCGGAACCTGGGTGCCCACGCCCTACCAGGTGCCACAGCCGGATGCCTGAGTCATCACCCCCCGTGATCACCCAGGCCTGCCTCTCATGGGCAGCGAGGGCCCGGATCCCACGGCCCTGGTGGCCCCGGAATGCCTGGAGGATCTCACCTTCGTGGCTCCATACCAGGCAGACACAGTCCTCTCCTGCACTGACCAGGTAATTCTCTAGCAGCTTGACCTGCCACACGCGGGCACTGTGCCCAAAGCAGTGCCCAATATTCTGCACCCGACCCCCAGGCACCCGCAGGTCGCCCACCTTCCAGATGCGAACACTTCGGTCTTCTGAAGCGGTGGCCAGCAAGCCCTTGCTCTCCAGGTACGACATGCTGAATACGGCGCCCATGTGCCCACTGACCCGCCGGTCAGGGGCCACGGGCTTACTGTCCACTAAAGCGGCCGCTGGGTACCAGATCAGGAGCTGGTTGGAAACGGCACCTGCCACTATGGTCAGCTCCTTCCAGGTGTCCCCGACCAGGCAGGCTGCGGAGAGGGTGCACCTGTCTGTGCAGGGGACGTCCTGCAGGAGGCACCCTATCACGGGGTCATATAACACCACTGAGTTGTGGCCCAGCGCCAAGGCCATGTTCCCCTCGAGCCAGCGTGCATCCCAGATCCAGTCCGACATGTTCCACAGGCCCGAGCGCCAGAGCTCCCGGAAGCGGCCCTGTCCCCAGCTGATTTTCACGACTCGGAGACCCTTGCTCCCGAACACGGCGACCATGGCCTCCACGTCAAGGTCTCCTTTGGGTTCTGGTCGCACCCGGAACCCATGGATCAGATAGTGGCCAAGCAGGTTCTGCACTCGCTTCATCATCCGCAGGTGCCCCCCGAAATCCAGGCTGTACACAAGGATGTCCGGCCCCTCACCTGGACAGGAGCAAAGAGCCACATCAGGACGCCTCGCCTAACGCTGAGGAGCCACAAGAAGAGACGGGGCGGGGACTCTCCATCCCGGGGCCTGTGAACGTGCTGGACAGTCCTGCAGGCTCACCCACAGACTCCTCACTCAGCCTCCTCCTCCCCCCACCCGACTTCTCCTGCTTCAGACAGGAACCTCTCAGCTTTAGCCCCCACACCCTTAGCCTCACCTGCCTGTCCACGAATTCTCCCCGCTGCGCCCAACCCGGGGAGAGGCTTCCCACTAAGACAACCTTTGCACCTGGGGCCACAGCACATCCCTGACTTCCAGGAGTTTCTTCCCTGCACGGGGGCGGGGGGGGGGGGGGGCGCCACACTTTGGCAGGGGGCTCCTGTGGCCCTCAGCGGCCTCCTGGCTGCCTGCAGGCACCTCCCACACTGCTAGCTCCTCTACCACCCTCTGCCCAACCCCCACCCCCAACCAGGAAGCCCACAGCTCACTCTTCTCAACTGCCCACATCTGTCTCCAAGTGTGTGGAGTTCATTGGCTACAGTTTGCAAACCCCACCAGAGTGTCTTTGGTCCAGAACATCACCTCTTAATCTGAAATGACCGTACCAGTCTCTCCTGCCATTCCTAGTCTGCACTCTCAATCTTCAGACAGTCAATACAGTTACTGGGCACCAATTACAAACCAGACAACGAGCTGTGTACTGGAGCAGTGAAAGGCAAGCCCAGACCTTGCTCTGTGGCAGTGGTTCCCAACGGGGGCACACGCCTCAGGGGGGCAATGTGATGTTTAAGGGGGGCAATTTGAGAATTAGTGAATTTTTTGCATTTCTTACGGCTCTAGGGGCGTCATATACAGTGTATAAATGTATACTGTGACATATTTATGCATTTCAGTTCTCATGTTTTGAAACTTTGCTATGTTTTCCTATCACTTCATATTATTTTTTTAAACAATTTTTTAGTGATTCTTCCTCAGTACAACTGTCCTTCCTTTTATTTTTTTAAATATATTTTATTGATTTTTTCACAGAGAGGAAGGAAGAGGGATAGAGTTAGAAACATCGATGAGAGAGAAGCAACGAGCAGCTGCCTCCTGCACATCTCCTACTGGGGATGTGTCCACAACCAAGGTACATGCCCTTGACCGGAATCGAACCTAGGACCCTTCAGTCCCCAGGCCGACACTCTGTCCACTGAGCCAAACCAGCCAGGGCTGTCCTTCCTTCTTTTATTTCCCTCTTTCATGGATGCCATGTTCTTTGGAAGGTTCTTTAGACCAAGTGAATGGCCTTTTAGGCTTCCTCCATGTGAATAGGAGCTCGCTTTTTGAATAAGAATTATATGTGGGGGAGGGATCAGGATTTTAGAGGTGCTTAGGTGGGCGTGGCCAAAACAAGGCTGGGAACCACTGTTCTAGGAACTGAGCAGGCACTGCACAGCAGCACACAGGGAGCCATGCTATCATTTGGTGAGTCCCAGGGAAGACCTATGCAGGCCGCTCTGAGAATTTAAACTGGTGAGTCTAGTCCAGGGGTTCTCCATGGGGGTGGACGGGGCAACTTCCCTCAGGCCCTGCAATGTCGGGAGGCGTTCTGGGTGGTCACAGTGTGCGTGACTGGCGTGGAGCCAGGGAGGCTGCCAGGCACCCTGCGAAGCAGGCAGCCGCTCACAAAGAATCATCTGATCCCACCCGTCCAGCGAGGACACGGACAGGAGACGGGTGAGCGTCGGGGAGGCCCCCTCGAGGGCACGACATCCCGGCGGCGGAATCTAAGGGGCAGCGGCCACTGAGCACGGCCACCGGGAAAGCAGGTGGCGCGCGGCGAGAAAAGAAACCGGGAGGGGAAGGCTCTGCCGTCCAGGCTCCAGCCCGGCCCCGGTCCCGGTCCCGGTCCCGGAATCCGCTGGCCTGTTTCCCGGCGCGGAAGAGCGTGGACAAGGATTCCCCGGGCCCCACCCATCTCGGTGGGAGCCCCGCCTCCGCCTCGAGCACCGACCCCTCGGGAAGGGGGGGGGTCTCACCGGTTTCCCAAAACCCCCTCCTGCTCCGAGGGCCTCACCCCCACCTCCAGGGAGGCGTCTCCCGGCCTCCAGGCCACACCCCGCCTCGGGCCCGGGCCCACCCGCACCCGCACCCGCACCCGCACCCCTAAAGAGGGGCCTCACCCCCACCACCCGGCCCCGCCCCCTCGGAGGGGCAAGCCCCGCCCCGCCCAGCTCATCCAGGGCCGCGCGCTCCCCTTCCCTCCTACGCCTCCGACGGGGCTCCCGGACCTTCCCGCGGCCCCACCCCCTCCACGTTAGCGCAGGCGACCCAGGGCCTCGGCACCGCGTCGGTTTTTGTCTTCTGGGCCGCTCCGGCCGTCCCGCCATCCCCGGGCTCCGCCCACCCCAGGGGCCGCCCTTCTGCCGCGCGGGCATCCTTCCCCGGGCACCCCTTCCCGGGCACCCCCTCCCCGGGAGCCCCTCCCCGTACACCTCCTCCCCAGAACACCTCCTCCCGGGGCACCCCTTCCCCGAGCACCCCTTCCCCGGGCACCCCTCCTCCGAGCACCTCTTCCCCCGGGCACCCCTTTGTTCCCTGCACCGCCCGGGAGCGCGCGGCTTCTCCGCTAACTCGCGCCGCACACAGAACCTCACCGGCCAGCAGCCGCTCCCCCACGCACTCCAGCCCGGTGACCGGGAGCAGCATGAGCTCGGAGGTGGCCCGCGGCCAGACGTAGTCCTCGGGAGCCTCCATGCCGCCCGCCAGCAACTGCGGCCGCCGCGACCGAGAGGGAGCGGAGCTCTCGCGAGACCAGCCTCCCCGGGCGCCGCGCCGCCGAACTCCGGCGCCCTTAGCAACAGGTCGCCGGGCAGATTCGCCAGCGGCCGCCGTCCAATGGCGACCCTTCGCCCACGCCACTCAGCTCAGGATTGGCCGGGCCGTCTCGCCCCGCCCCGTCACGTGACGCCGCCAGCAGCCCGCCCCCGGCTGCCCCCGCCCGCTTCCCCTGCCCGCGCATCCTCCCACCGACCGAGCTCCTCGGCCCGGCTCGCAGCCGGTTGGTTTTATTTGACGGGCGGCAGGGTCTGTACAATAAATAACGCGGATGGCGGTGCGGTGCCCTGGTCGCGGCTGGAGGCGGGTGTGGGGGGGGCAAAACGTCGGCCAGACCTTTGGCTTGAAGCTGGACGGGGAGCTGCAGAGCCCCACCGTGGGCGGCGGGCGACCTGCGGCGGGGCCGAGCCTGACCCCTCGCTCAGAGCTCCACGCGCGCGTCGCGGTAGGCCCGGTCCAGGGCCCACTCTGGCTGCGCGTCGGCGCCCCCTTCGCGGGCCAGGCGCGCCATCTCCTGCTGGAACAGCGCCTGCCGCGCTCGGCTGGGGTCCACGTTGATCCAGTTGTTGGCGATCCACTTAGTGCCACGAGTGACCAGGCAGCCCCCGTGCAGCGAGTAGTCGTCCACGTCGCCCACCCAGCCTAGGAGAGGGGCCTGGTGTGAGCCAGGGAGGGGGCCAAGGGCACCAGGCTGGGCTGCCCTGGGCTTGGCCGGGGACAGGGCCCCCGCTGTGCGCACCTCCCTCCCGTGGCAAACATCCGGCCCCGCCACCGTGGGGGCTCAGCACCTCTCACCAGCTATTGCTTCGTCCCGCCACGGCCCTGGGAACCCAGCTGTCCAGCCGAGCCTGTCCCGAGCCCTGCCCAGCCTGGGTGGGTAAGGGATGCGTCCCCAGTCCCAGCGAGATGAGGGCTAGGGAACCAGGGCGTCCCAGGGGTCGGGGTAACCCAGGAAGCGGCCCCAGAACCACTGAGGTTGGTTCGGGGAAGCACTAGGGCCAGAAACTGCCCACCAGGGCGGCGCTGGGGCGGGTACAGGGAGCTTCCCTCCGGGGGCAGCCCTGCCCTCGAAGGCCATCGAAGGCCCTCACCTTGCCCGTCGGGCAGGTAGTTGTACCAGAAGACCGCTGTGCCCTGCTGGGGTTTCACACGGAGGTTGCCCTTGTCACAGTGCCTCCGGGTGTCCCGGAGGTCCACGTCGTCCTGAATCAGACTCTGTGGGCAGGAGGGCGGTGAGGTTCTCAGCTGCCCCCCCACTGACTGGCCAGGAGCCAGGCCAGGTGGCCAGAGGGAAACCAGGTGTAGAGGGCGGTGCCACGTGTGCCCAGCGCCCGCCCGGGCAGCAGCCTGGTGGGCTTACCATTTCGTCGTAGGTTCTGTTGTCGGCGACAGGGAAGACCGTCTCGCCCCCGCCGGTGACGTTGTTCAGGTAGAACAGCACGGTCATGTAGCTGTAAGGCAGGGGCGCTGAGCAATGCCCGCCGAGGGCAGGGTGAGCTGCCCAGGCTCCCACGGGCCAGAGGGCAGGGCAGGACCAAGGTGTCCCCAGCCCATTCTCCCCACAAACCTAGTCTCCTTCTGTGTCTTAAAGTTTTTGGCAGCCAAGATCCCAGGTGCACTTAGATCCCAGGGCCCCAGCCAAGGCCAGCTAGGGAGGCAGGATCAGCACCCAGGGAGCGGCAGAAAGAGCTGGGGTTCTAGCCTTTCCCCCCTTGCCTCACAGCCCTGGGGACCAGTTTCAGTGTCTGCGGGTACCTCAGTCTGGCCACTGAGACAAGATGGCCACCCCTTTCCTGACACTGGGTAAACAACCTGGGGGACAGGCAGGCGCAGGGCCTGCCCACAGGGCGGGTGAGTCTGGTCTGGGCGTCCAGGCAGCCCCCGGGGGGAGGTACTTGCCGGCAGGAGGTCTCGAAGGGCACCGACTCGTTCGCCACCAGCTTGGTGTGGGAGCAGATGGTCTCTGGGTACACAGGCCCGCTGTCCACGTGGGCATGGTAGTGGCCGCCCTCTCCGTACCGCACCACCTGCATGGGCTCGCTGAGCTCCACGATCTCGGCTGGCAGGCGGGTGAGGCGCAGCACCCTGGTGGCAGCAGGCATTCAGCTGGCCAGCCTCATGCAAGGTGGCACCCTGACAGCCGGCCGGTGTGGGCCCTGGGCCGGCCACAGCGCTGCCCCTGCACACCTCCCCTGGGAGCCCCGTCAGCCACCCCGGACCGGCCCTATAGGAGCAGGAAGAGGTTATCATGATGCCAGAGACACCCACTGCGGGGGAAAGATGAGATTTCTACTAAATTAGGTGGGGGGCACTCCCCCAGGAGGAAGGTTATCTAAAACCCCCACAGGGGCCCTGGCTGGTGTGGCTCAGTGGATAGAGCGTCGGCCTGCAGACTGAAGGGTCCCAGGTTCGAGTCCAGCCAAGGGCACACGCCCAGGTTTCGGGCTCAATCCCCAGTAGGGGGCGTGCAGGAGGCAGCTGATCATTGATTCTCATCACTGATGTTTCTGTCTCTTCTCCCTTTCTCTCTCTGAAATCAATTAAAAAATATTTAACAATAAAAAAATAAAACCCCTGCAGAGCATCCTGTGCACAGAGATGACGGGCCATTTCTCTAATCAGCAGGAAACAGCCATGCAATCTATTTCTAATCCCAGATGTAGTGTGCCCACAGTAAGGGCTAGTTCGCCCTTGCTAATTGCCGGTCTTTCAGTGGGTCCCCATCCGGGTCTAACAAGCGGAACTCAATCCTGAGTTGGCTTCTCAGTTCTGTCCTCTCCTCCCAGCCAAGGACCGTGCGGGCCTGGCACCGGGAGGACCGCTGGGCGCTCACCTCTGGCGGATGGCCCGCATGACCTGGTGGGCGCCTTCCCCCTGGTACAGCCACGTGTGGTGGCTGTTGCGCACCAGCTCGCTGGACTCCGCCTTGTGCCTCCTCATGTACTTGTGGAAGTCCCGCAGGTCCATGTCGGAGAACTCCTGCAGGCTCAGCACTCCTGCACGGGGAGGGGGGGCCCAGCAGTGCCGCCTGAGCACCGGTCCCCCACCCTGGGCTCCTGGGTCAGGTGAGCCTAGCTTGTCACAGGGAGACCCACACCTTCCTTTCCTCCGGTGAAGCCCTGAGTGGGCCCCAAAAGGAAGGAGCTCCCCTCCCCCCATGAGATTGGCCAGAGCAGGGTCTCAGGGCACGGCCGCCCTTGATCCTCCCGCCTGGCTCTGCAGAGTGTGGCCGCCTCGGTCCTCAGGGCGAGGAGAGAGCAGGGGTGCTGGCCGCTGGCCAGGGCCTTCCACACTTTCGGGGGTAGCAGGGCTGGGCCCAGAAGTTTCCTTATGACCTCAGGTCCCATCCTGAGTGGGATATGCCGGGTCAGTCTTGTCCACTGGCCAGAGCGCGCTCCCCAGTGAGGTCACTCTGCCGCCCTCACCTCCCAGGCAGGGCCTCCACCCTCGGGGTTCTGGACCGGTAGCTACGGTCTCTGCTCCGGCTTATCCTGCTTGACCCAACGGAGACACTTTCTCCCAGGATGGGGGCCGCTCGGGCTGGGAGCCTGGCGCCAGCTCCGCACGCGGCAGCAGCAGCAGGCCGCTCTGGCCGCGGGCTCTTCGCTCCGGGCTCACCAGCCACCAGCCACTCTTCCAAGTCCTACTCGACGGCTGCATCTTCCTCACGTGGCATGAGAGTGGACTACACGTCAGAACCCTCCTGAGGGCTGAGGGTTATTGCCAAAGTGTGTGTGTGTGTGTGGGGGGGGGGGGTATGTATGACGGCTCCCTGCCCTCGCAGTTAGAATGGCTCCAGGTGGCAAGAGGGAGGCCTTGGGCAGACCCTGCTGGCTGGAGAGGCAGACGGATCGGGGCACAGCCAAGCTCAAGCTGGCATCACTGTCCCTTCGCTCTCGCTCCACCCCCTCTGCCCTCTGCCAGCCAGCAGCCCCACCTCCTGTGCCCCAGACTCCGACTGACAGGTGGAAAGGGCGAGGTGGAAAGGGTCTCCAAGACCTGCCCTCCAGACGGTCAGCGAGGGGACAGGGCTCCCGGGGACAGGGCTCCCGGGGACAGGGCTCCCGGGGACAGAGCTGCGGGAGGTCTGAGCTCACCATCGCCGTCAGGGTCAGCCCTGATCGCAGAGTACATCTCCTGAATGTTCTCTGGCGTCATCCAGCGTCCATTCCCCAGGCGAGTCTGGGCCAGAACCTGAAGCACATGGTCCCCCATGAGGTGGCCCCGCGATGGAGCGCCCCCAGAGCACAGCCCCCCAGTGTCGCTGTGGGGCTGAGGGCTCGGGGGGAGGACATGGGTGAGGACAGAGGACAAGCCTCAAGTTCCTTTGCTGATGACAATAGGTGGAGAGGTCCAGTGGCATCTGGGAGGCCAGGAAGGCAGTCAAGAGCCCTGAGGGCTAGCTACGGGCATCCTGTTGGGCCAGGGACCCCCACACCTCGCCAAGTCCTCTCTCAGAAGCTGGGTGAGGGCCGTGCAGAGAGGCGGACCCTGGCCACCTGGAAGCTGCCACTCCACGCACCACAAGCTCCATGGGCTCCCAGCATGGCAGCCAGGAATCCAGACCTGTCACAGGGGCAGGACACCTGGGGACTGGCCACACGTGCCATCACTGCCCGGTGGGTCCTCCTGCTCCTTCTGGGGTTCCTGGCAGCGAGGACCTACCTCTCCAGGGAAGGAGGGGCCCCTGGGCCTGGGCAGGCTGATCTGCGGGACCATCTGTGGGGGCCAGGGCTGAGCAGGACAGGTACCCCGGCCACAGCAACCATTCTGCAGCACCCCCCCTCCCCGCACCACCCACCCCTCCCCACGCTGCTCCGGGCCCAACCTCACGGAGCTGCAGGCGGCCGTCCCGGTTCTGGTCCAGCAGCCGGAAGAGGTCCAGCTGGCTGACCTGCATCGTGCCCAGGGCCTCCTCGTACTCCTCGGTGGGCAGGATCTGGCTGCGCTGTAGCCCCTTCATCTGTGCCAGGTGGATGATGAGCCGACACTCCTCATCGCGCAGGAAGCCCGGGACTTCTGCCAGGAGAGGAGGTGGGTGAGGCCAGGGCCCGGCACGAGCCTGGCACCTTCCCCTCTGCGGGGTCCCCGCACGCCCTGGTGGGCTCAGGTCAGCACGTCTCACCCCCCTGTACATCTGCTCTGGGTGCCCTGCAAGGCCGGCAGCGTTTGGGAGGTGGGCCCCCCTCTCTGGTGCTGAGAGCACGTTTCCCAGGGGGTCCTAGGAGCAAGCTGGAGCCGAGCTGGGCCTGGGCTGACCCGCCCTCGGAGGGAACCGAAGGCCAGAGGGTGAACCTGAAGGGCAGAGGGCGGCCTCCACTGCTTACTTGGTATATATTTTACTTTATTACTTTTTATTGATTTCAGAGAGGCAGGGAGAGGGAGAGTTAGAAACTTCAATGATGAGCCCGGCCAGCATGGCTCAGGGGTTGAGCATCGACCTGTGAACCAGGAGGTCACGGCTCAATTCCCGGTCAGAGCACAGGTCCAGGTTGCAGGCTCCATCCCCAGTGCGGGGCGCGCAGGAGGCAGCCGATCAATAATTCTTTCTCTCTCATCATTGATGTTTCTATCCCTCTCTCCCTCTCTTTCTCTGAAATCAATAAAAGTATATTTTTTAAAAAGTCAAATGATGAGAGGGAATGGTTGATCGGCTGCTTCCTGCACGCCCCCTATGTGGGCATGCGCCCTGCCAGGCACCGAATGGTGACCTCCTGATTCATGGATCGACGGTCAGCCACTGACCCGCACCAGCCGGGCCTGGGCATATATTTTACAAGTGGAGGATGGTGGCTGGGTTTTGCTTTCATTTGTACTTTCCAGCCTCATTCAATACAAACAAACAAACAGCAGGTCACGCTGCTCTCCAGGCCCCTCCTTGCCCGCCTGCTGCTGCACAAGCAGACGCTGGTCATCGGATCGGGCCGAGTCCCGGTGCTGGGAGGCCAGTGGGGGTTGAGCAAGTCATTGGCAGGAGCTCTGAGCAGGTACCCCCGGTGTTCTTTGCTTTGGGGACAAATGTACCCTGAACGCTGCTCCATGCCTCCCAGCTCCCGAGTCAGGCCGGGCTTGGCCCAGGGGCTGGCCGCCCCCACGCCAGCCCCACAGCAGCTGGTGGAGCTAAACATGGGCCTCAGGGCTGGGAGCCCATCGCGGTGGCCCAGGCACCTCTACAACAGGAGGTGGGGCCCTGTTTCATTCCCTTGTTCTGGGAGAGAGGATTTCCTTAGTCAGAGGCACTGATCGGAGGAAGGGCCACCTCCACCACCACCTCCACCACCCAGGGCCCCTCAGGGCAGTGGCTGCTGCTCTGGGTCATCGCCCAGAGGAAGGGAAATGGCCACTCAGCCGGGATCCAGTGTGTGTGTGTGTGTGTATGTGTGTGTGTGCGTGTGTGTGTGTTTTGTTTTTTGTTTTGTTAATCCTCACCCAAAGATATTTTTCCCATTGATTTTTAGAGAGAGGAGGGAAAGAGAGGGAGAGAGAGAGGGAAACACTGATGTGAGACATCAATGAGGGGCCAGGAATTGAACCTGCAACCCAGGCCTATGACTGGGAATCGAATCCGAGGCCCTTTGGTGCGCAGGCCAACACCCTACCCACTGGGCCGTGCTGGCCAGGGCTCGAGTGGTTTTCAATCGCGATCACCGCTACTCAGGTAGCAGAGTGCGGCCTGTCCCAGGCACACCCTCAAGGCCTTAGTCCCATACTCATCCTAAGAGCCAGGCCCCATTAAATGCCCTCCCTAACCACAACCAACCCCAAGCACAGAGACATCACCCTGATGGAGTCAAAAGGGCCCCCAGGCCAGGCTGTCACACTCTAGAATCCATGTTCACTCCCAGGGGTAGGTGACTCGGTGGTGATGACGCTGGGGACAGGACCAAGAACCCCACACCCCAGCAAACCCAGGAGGGGTGTGCGCCATCCACAGGGACAAACTGCTAATGAACAGAGTCGCTCCTGACAGCTTGAAAAATAAACAAACTGGAAGGAAAAGCCAAAAAAAAAAAAGAAAAGAAAAGCCAGCAGAGGCCCAGCTTCGTCCGTTTAACCTCAGGCCCCAAGGAGATGCCACCAGCGGATAATCTAATGCAAAGGTCAGCGCTGCAGCCTCCCAGGCCGGGCCAGGTGCCTGGGAGTTGGGCGGCTGTTGGCTCCTGGGGCGGCGGGAGGGGGGGGCGGGGTGTGGGGGTGTGGGGGGTGTAGTAGAGGCCTGTAAAGCCCTCAACCTCAGCCCATTAAGGCCAAAGCAGGGAGAGCAGGGGTGGCTGGAGGGCCGTGGCTCCTGGTGGTGCTGTGGGTGACAGCAGTGGGATGGGGGCGATGCATGCCCACCCCCCAGGCCATGGCGCTGTGCCAGGACATGGGGCCGAGGCCATCCCGCAATCAGCCAATGGCGGCACCTGCTGGCCAGGAGTGCCACCAGCTGCCCGCCTCTTCCCGCTCC